TCCATCCTCCTTTGCAAATTCAGAACCTCCGCCCTTTTTATGTTTTTGATGTCTCAAATTGTCCCTGTTTATGCTGTGAATTTGTTGATGATCTTACTTGTAGTTCTGCCACCTTTTATCCTTTTTTTTAAGGTAGAAAAACCTCATTAGTATTTTCTTCAATAGAGTTCTGGTGATAAGTTCCCTCCGCTTCTGTATGTCTGGAAAAGTCTTTATGTCTCCTTCATACTTAAAGAATAACTTTGCTGGATATATTATTCTTGGCTTGTAATTTCTTTCAGTAGTTTTAATATTTAGTTCCACTTTCTTCTGGATTGTAGAGTTTTGGCTGAGAAATCTCATGACTATGTAATGGTCTTTCCTTTACAGGTTACTTTCTTCTCTTCCTTAGATGCCTTGAGAATTCTTCGTCATTAATTTTGGATCATTTTAATACAATGATCTTTTTAGAAGGCCTTTTCGGGTTAAGGTAACTAGTTGTTCTGTTTGCTTCTTGGATTCAGGGATCTAGCTCTTTCCACAGTTTTGGGGAACTTATCAACTCTTTGCTTGAATAGGCTCCTTTTTGCTTCTCCTTTTTCTTTTGTTATTTCTACTCATATATTGCTCTTTCTGATGTAGTCAGAGAGTTCTCTTAGAGTTTTTCTTTTTCATTTTTTATGCTCAGGTCTCTCTTTTCTTTCCTCTGCATCATTTCTAGATTTCTGTCTTCACTGTCACTAATCCTTTTCTCCATCTGCTCCGCTCTATCTCCTATGCTTCCTAGTTCATTTTTTATCTCTTTTATTGAGGTTTTTCATCTCCATAATTTCTGTTTGGTTCTTTAAAGTTTCAATCTCTTTGGTAAGTTACTCATTTTATTTATTGATTTGTTTTCTGGGAGTATTAAATTACCTGTATGTACTTTCTTGCATCTCATTGACATTTTCAGAATAGCAATTTTGAATTCTTCGTCATTTATATCACATATTTCCATGTCTTTAAGTTTGCTTTCTGAAGATTTTTAATTTTATTTTGGAGCTGTCTCACTACCTTGGTCATTCATGGTATTTGATAGACTCCTTCTCTGGCTAGGCATCAATGTACTAGTGGCACTTCTCTAGTTAATTTATACAGAGAGGTCTTTCTCTTATTTCCCAGTAGGTGGTACTGAATCATAACTTTTGCTTTAGCTCTGTGAAACCCCAGCACTGTCTCCAGCCAGAAGCTGCCATCAGTGTAGCCAGGATGCATGGCTATGGGGTGGACTCAGAGAACCAGCTAGCTTCTTTGTTGTTTTGTCTTCCTGGTAATGGTTACCTTCGACTTCCACCGGGTCCCCTCTGCACCCCAGCCCTGAGATCTGTCACAGAATGCATTCTTTTCACAGGGAAGAAAGTGATTATGTAATACGAGTTTCTGGTTTTACAGATAATGTGCTCAGCAACCAAACACAAAGGGTGAAGGGAGGTGAGCTCTGGGAGATTAAGGTGTGGCAAGGCTCTGTGACTTTGGTTTTCTGCCCAGCAGCTACAGCCATGCCCCCTATGCTGTGTCTTTCTCAGGTCACTGGGCTCAGCTGCAACTCATACTACTCACTCCTGCAGGAATGCTCCCTGAATCTTTTTCTTCTGCCCAGCTAATGGAAGCACCTGTCATAACTAAATTCCTCCCTTCTCCAGCAGAGGCCCATCATGAGCTCCCAGCTGCTAAGCTGAGTCCGTGACTCATCTGAGCCCTTCTCCTTTCTCTCCTCCCCCTTTTTCTCCCACTTGCCCTCCTTTAGTTTTTTAAAATTTATTTTTATTGAATATATTGGGGTGACATTGGTTAATAAAATTACATAGGTTTCAGGTATATAATTCTAAAATACATCATCTATATATTGCATTTTGTGTTTACCACCCCAAGTAAAGTCTTTCATCACCATTCATCCCCCCTTTACCTTTTTCTATCTCACCCCAACCTCCTTCTGTCAATCACCATACTGTTATCTGTGTTCATAAGCCTTTCTTTTTCTTTTCTTAATCTTTTCACTTTTCTCACCCAGCTTATATGTCTTAATGCACAGATCGCTTAGGCTTGCTTGTGAGTTGGCCAGGAAATCCTTCAAGGGGATATCTCACATCTACATTCCTCTTATGTCTGCATCATCTATCTTAATCAATGGCACCAATGCATTTATAGGCAAGAAGGAAACCTGGTCACCTGGTCACCTAAACTGACAACCTGGCTCCTTCTTTTCTCCCTCAGTATCACATTTTCAATAATTACCAAATCTTGTCACTCATCCTTTCAAATATTTCTTGAGTCTTTCCTTTCTTTTTCACCCCCACTTCATTGAACCCTAATTTAGGTCACCATTATCTCTTACAAAGGTGATTTAACATATGTCTAATAGGTTTCCCTGTTTTCATTCTTATTCTTTTTGATTCGGTTGTGTTCCCTTCAGGCAGATGCCACAGTATCACCCCTTAGCTTAACCCTGCCCCCAGCATTCTGTGCTTCCTGGAACTTGATCCCTGTCCAAAACTCCTACCTTGTCTACAGCTTCTCCTCCACATATCTATGTTCCAATCTATGGATTTTTCCTTACCTCCGAGCCTTTGCATATTTTGTCTGCCTGGATCACTCTACACCAACCTCCTTCTAGTTATCACTTAGGTTCACCTCCTTCAGAGAGCCTTTTCTAAGTTCCACAGGCTTGTTGGTCTGTTCTTCTTTCCTCCTATGCTTCTCTGAACTGATTTCAATCACACTCAGTTACCCACTAATTTATCTGTTTCCTTCTGAAGGCTGTAATAAGATCTTTATGGACAAGGATTGTGTCTTTACATTTTTAACCAGTACCTAGTACTTGTTCAATAAACAAATTGGAAAAAAAAAAAAAAAAGCTCACTTCAGATGTTTTCTTGTGAATAATGCCTCAAATTTAAAACTTAGCACAAGGTTTAGTCAAACCTTGGTGAAAAGCCACAAGATCCTGCCTCAGGGACTTTGCACTTGCTCTTCCCACTGCCTGTAATATTCTTCCTCAGATATTCCCATTGTTTATTCTTTTACTCTCTCAGTCTGGGGTAATAAGACTAAGAGACATTTCTCAACCATCTCATGTAAAATAATGCTCCATCATTTTATTATTCTTAGTTTTTTTAATCCCTCAAAGTGATTATTACTACCTGAAATGTCACATAGTGTTTAAATGCATTCCCCTTTTAAACATAAGCTCCTTATCAGCAAGGGCTTTGTTTTGATTATTTGATGTTTCTTGCTGCCTATAAAAGTCTGGCCTTGAATTTATGCTCAAAATATTTACAAATGTATTTTAAAAAATAAATTTAAAAATAGGTAATAAAAAATCCAACTAGAAAAAAAAGAAAAAAGAAAACCTCAAAAAAATATTTATTAAATATTTAGTTGAATAACTAACTGATAAAAAGCAGAAGGAAAGAAAGAAAAGGAAAAGAAAAGAAACAGAGGGACAAAAAGAATAAATGTCCTTTCTTTTTCCTGGCTCTTGTCTTTGGCCCTTGTTTTTAGTTTTCTTTATGTTCTGTTGTACCTGAGTCCGAGTATAATGTATCTACACCTGGTCCAAACAGACACAACTGATCATGAACTGACTACAAACAGGACTTGTCTCAGTGCCAATGTCCTCCTATGTAAAGCTTTTATGTAAGGGCAGCAGGTTTGAGAATTTGGTGTGTGTTTGGATGTGATAAGAGGTCCCTAACTCAAGATACGCTGTTTCTGCAGGCCCCATGTGCTGATACACATGTGTGGCTTTCCCTGGGATTAGAAGGCTATAATAATGTGTCAAGGCCTTAGTTTTTCCTGGAAAGCCAGAGCTGGAATCCAGGGAAGCAGCTGGTGTTAGGGCAGATATTTCCCAACAGCATCAGCTCTGTTGTTGTTGTTGTTGTTGTTGTTGTTGTTGTTGTTGTTCACTTGGCAAGGAAGTCCAGAGACCACTGTGATGTCTGGGTCTCTTGGACCCAGTAGCCCCTTGGTTTCCACATGTGCCTATAAACGTCTTCCAGGATGTCCCCCTTGCAAATCATTCACTTTTAATGGGAGTAACAAGTCTGCTCTCTGCTACTTCTGCTGTGGGTCTGTAAACAGGTCTACATATTCTGGAACTGGGAGGAAGAAGTACAATGGAGGGAGGGGACTGTTGGGATATGCCAAGTACATCACCTCTAAGGATTGTAAGACTCCTGAAGGCAAGGACTGAATTTGTCTGATTAACCAGTGTTTCACCAGCTCCAAGCACAGTGCCTGGCACATGCTGGGTTCTCAAATAAATGTGTCTAGAAAAGTGAATGAGGCCTGTGAAGGGATCAGTGTTATCCCTATTTCATAAGCAGCAGTTCCCTGCTGTAACCTCTATTTCTGCAATGCCCGGTGTACTTGTTCAAATTCTCCTGCTGCCAGATCTTAAGCTCCAGAAGTGCTGAGAGTGTGTCAGATTTGTTCATGTTGTATTCCCAGAAGCTAGCACATAGTAGGTGGTCAGCAAATATTTCTTAAATAATTAATAAACAGTTGGATGAATAAATGTATAGATGAAGCTCAGAGACATCGTGTACTTTATCTAAAGCCATACAGCAGAACCAGATTTGACCAGACTGTGAACTCCATTAGGCAGGGGTGGAGTCTGGTTTTTCTTACCATGGGATCTTCAGCACCACAAACAATGCCAAATAGAGTAAGCGCTCAATAAATATTTGCTAAATGAATAAATGACTTCACAGGCTGAGCGTTTTAATTATTATTTTGCCACACTCTTTATGGAGAAAGGGGCCTTGTGTACAGACACATCACTAGTCCCATTTTAAGGGAAAACTGCGTTTAAAGACACAGGCTTTTTTTCTTTTTTTTTTTTTTTTTTTTGGTAACAAAGATTAAAAGGAAGAAAATAAGAGCAGGCTGAATGAAGTGTGAGCCCCCTTTCCTCATCACCTCCCCAGGCAGCAGGACATGACTTGGTAGCCACAGAGCATAGGGTTTTCAGCTTCCCATCACTGAGACATCAGGGTCAAGGCAGCCAACAGAAGCAGAGGTAGCCCGACCTTCAGGAGACCTGAAATGAAAGTGATTTCAGGGTCACTGATGCACCTTTGTGGAAAACTGATTTAAGATGCCTCTTCTATGATGGCCATTTGGGAAAAGATACCCTGTATGGGTCAACCAGTTAGAAAAGGAAACTTTATCTGTCCCATGAACTGATTAGAAAAAGGTACCACTCTGGGAGGAAAAATAAAAAACCGTACCCTCCCAGGAGGATCAATTTGAAGAAGACAACCTTTCCTCTGATCCTAGGCTTGGTACCCCATCAAAGAGCACTCTTGTGTAGTATGCAACCTACTCCACCATCCTTGATGACCCTGGGATATTCACAGAGGACAGGTCTCTCTAGACCACCCTGACTTTCCAACTCCAATAGCTCACAGGTACTGGGTTAAACTAACTCAGGTCAAACACTAGCCTGTATAACTACTTCTTTGGATCTAGATGCTAGGAACCAGAAGGGCAATGGTAACATGGACTCACTTTCCATCCAGATCATCAGACAACTCATTGGCCATAAAAATCAAGGTCCATAAAAATGTCACCAGTCCCTGGTCTTTGTGGCCAGAGGAGAGAGAAGCAGAGAAACTGGTTTCCTTATTTGTCTGTTGCGCTCATCCCAGAACTAGGAATGGTGCTTAGTGTGTAGTAGTACTCAACACATACCCCTCATTTGTTAAATGATTCCTAAAGAATGTGTTAGAGGTGAGCCATGGAATTTCCCTGAGGTGCAGATCTAGAATGTGTTTATGCCTATTGTGAACAGATCAGCACAAGTGTGTGTATGTCTGTACATGAATACATGCAACTCCAGCTGTCTGTGCATCTGAATGTGCAAATATGAAAGCATGCATGAGACATTATGTGTGTGCACAAACATGTCTGGATGATGTATGTCCTTGTATGACTGTGTATGCATGTGTCATGTGCATATATGCATTATTGTGGGACAGCACAGGTATATGTGCATATGTGCAGCTTCAAGTCCAGGCACTTCCACAGATATAGTTGCTTCTTCAGAGCTGAGGCCCAGCAGACTGGCACTCCAGCCCACTCTGGACCCACAGATAAAAGCCCTGGAAAAAGGTTCTGGTGCAGGCCCTTTTCAAAGAGGACATAAACTTACCCACGCTGATGGAAGCAGCCCTGGAGACTGTGGCCTTGGCACCTGGACAGAAAAAAGAAGGATCAGTGCAAAGAAAGGCATGTGGTGGGCAAGAAGCCTGGGAGATGTTCCATTCAATTTTCTCTTCTCTTGGCAGCCAACATGATCTTTTTGAAACCCCAGTCTGATCATGTCCCTTTAACCTTTCAGGGGTCCCAAGTTACTTTCAGGAGAAAGGTCCAAAATCTTAGCAAGAACTACAAGGCTCCTCATGATCTGGGTCCCCTGCCTCAGCTCACCCCTCCCTCCTCCTCCTTCTGGCCTGCATGGCCTTCTCTCAAGCCCTCAAGCAGAATGGAACTCCCACCACAGGCCCTTTGCCCATTCTGTACCCCCTGCCAGGGATTCCCTCCCTCTCTCCCCTCTCCATGACTTCCTCAATTAGTTAATTCCTCTTCAATTTCCAAAGCTCATCTCTATTCTTCTCCAATACTTTAGAGTTGTTCTGGTTCCCTTATTGTAAGAGCTCAAAATTCTGAATATATTTTTTGATGGCACTTAATACAATTGCAGATCTATATTTATTGCTATCTATCATCTAACTATCTATCTATCATCTGTCTGTCTACCTACCTACCTACCTACCTACCTACCACCTACCTACCTATGGTTATGGCCCATATGCTCCATGTAATCTGGGCCTATATATATGTTTGCTGGCACACAGTAGGCACAAGAACATGTACAATGAATCAATGAATGAGAACTGGTAATAAAAAGGCAGGGTGTAGTTCACCTTGCCTCAGAGAATCCACTTGCTCCAGCTCTCCAGATTCCGACAAAACCCCAAGCACTAGGTTCTGTCTTCCCTCCCTATCTCTGGAGAATGTTTACTGCCAGAAATGCAGGGGTGGGAGTGACCCTCTTACCTTTCCGCGTGATGGGACCCAAGTTCAGGATATGGGTTTGGTCTATGATGCCCCCACTGTGGAACTTGGTCCTCGAGCAGGTCTGCAGGGACAGAGCAAAAATAAAATTCTTCTGTGAATGTGTCTTGCCAAGAGAAGGGGGTTGCACACCTCAGAGAGCATCTTCCTTCCTCAGGCTGGATCATGAAGGTGGGGTGGGTGAGGAAGTAGTCATCAGGATACCTGGGTTCATGCCCATCTCTACCATTTGTTATATGTATGACCTTAGGAAAGTCACTTAAGTTCTGTGAGTCTCTCTGCCCTCTGGAAAAAGTGACTAGCAAAATACTGACCTCACATGAATAAGGTGCCTGTGGTGTTTTAACATGTCAGGTTCTGTTTTACGACAGGCTTGCAGATAAGCCAGAGCATGTACCAGCCTGTCATCTTAAGTCCTCTACCAACCACATCTTATTGCTCAGAGAAACAAAGAACAAATGTTTACCTATTTTTTTAGACTTTGTGGCCACATGTCTTTGGTTTGGAAGATGGGAGAGGGGTGGGGTACAGCTAGGAGGCTGAGAGAATGGAGGCAACTCACAGGTTTGCACTGTTCATTCATGATGTCACAGAGATACACTTCACAGTGCAGGTAGACCAGGTCGTGATTTCCCACAAAATGAAACATCTGGACAGAGAATTGACCCTGAGGGGACTCCCCATTCTCCAACACTTGGATGGTTGAGTCTGCAGTACGTAGACATCTGAGATAGTTATGGCAGATAACATGGTTGATTAAGCAAACATTCTGGGGCCTGACTTCCTTGATTTAATCTTCCTCTACCACCTATGACCTTGGACAACTTAATTAATCTCTCTATGTCCCATTTCCCCATTTGTAAACAGGAAGTAATAATTGTAACCCATATCATAAGATAGTTGTGAGGGTTAAGTGAGTTCATTTTCCAAAGTGCTACTCCAGTATGTGGCACAGTAGGAGCAACATATTTATGATGCTAAAATAAAAATGTTATTGGCATCGAGTTGAAACTATCCTAAAGTTAGCCCATTTTGATTTTCCAGGAAACAGCATTCAGGAATCATTAGTTATATTTATTTGCTGTCTACTATGTACCTGGTATTAATTATAACCGCAACTTCTGAATCCTGAAGGTCACTAACCAAACTGGAGTGTGTGCCCATTTGTATGCATGCACAATTGCACCAAAAGACACAAACAGAAACTGAAGACTGCACATGCAGAGAATCCTCAGTGTGTTGGACTGCATTGGGATGTATGGGCAGGCAAATTCAGTAGCCCTCCCCATCCCACCCACAATTCAGCACTGGTTCCAAAGGTCCAAATTCCACTTGGCAAAATAAAAGCCCTGTGGTTAAGGGCATTCATCTCCTGAAAGCCACAGTTTGTGGCATCCAGCATGGCTCTTGGTAGCCGAAATGCACTCAACCTGAGCGGGGCTTCCAAATGTAGGTAGCCATTCTCATTGTCTCTCCAGCTGATCTCCTCATTACTCATCCTATGACATTCTGACGCATCACCTAGATTAGTGGTTTTCAACCTAGCTCCCACACATGATCAGGCAGAAAAACACAGGCATGCCCAGCCTTTCTTCCTGCTTCATTTTCAAAACTTTCCAAGCTTTCCACATGTGCAGCCAGCTCCTCTTCTAAATCAATTGTGAATAAAAATACCCTTGAATTTCATCAATGGTCCTTACCTGTCCTGGATAATAAAGTACTTCAAAGGGTCTGTGGCGTTGCCGCTAGGTGTGGCATAGCAATTGGTCATCAGCAGTGCAAAGCAGGACAAATCACCCCCATCCAGTGTGGTGCCCACGTAGAGAAAGGCTTTGGTGGACAGAGTCACAGAGGAACCTTGGTAGGGCTGAGTGTAAGAAGAACTCTGGAAGAGCGCCATTTGCACGGTGAACATGCCCGTCCCACCCATGCTGATGTTAAGGGTACTGAAGGGAGAGAAGAGCTGGTAAGGGAACCAGAGCTGAGAAAAGCAACAGATGGGCTACCTTCTCTAATATGGTTGCTGGGCAGTCCCTGGTAGTTCTTTGCATTTTTATCCAGCAGTAGGAAAGAACCCATGAACCATTGTTTTGTAAACTGCAGTTTGTACAAATGGCCACCCTGGGATCTTGTTGAGATGCAGATTCTGGTTTGGTAGGTCTAGGGCAGAGGGGCTCATGGTCCTGCATTTGTAACAAGATCCCAGGTAAGGCTGATGCTTCTGGTCCACAGACCACATTTTTGTAACATGTCCACCCCTACACTTGGTAACCTTTGCCTTCAAGATGTGCAGCAAATAAATTCTCAAGGGAATCACCTAGATTTCTTCTTTGACTTCAACCTGGAAGTTTAAAAAGATGGGCTATGAGTCTTATTGGCCTAAATCAGAGTTCTGGCTTACCTACAGCAGAATATTAGGGGAGGAATTAAATGGGTTATTTTTAACCCCATTGAAAACAGCCACACTCATATAGACTTCATGGGATAATCCCACAAAAGACCTGGTAAGGCTGATGCTCCAAGAAATAAAGCATATGAGAAATACTCAGTAATGTGAAAGTCCATTTCACAGGTGAGAACTGGGTTTTAGGTTTAGACCCAAAGTTGGACTGAGACAAGATTTCCAGCTCAGACAAGAGAGAGATTTGTCTAGTAGGCATAGGTTGCTCCCTGTTGCCTACTAGATCTGGGACATGGCCACATTGTTCCAGGGCACTGCTTATACAGGTGATGCTTCAGCCAAGAGAGACTTTTTCCCCCAGGTCAGGCTTGTCCCTCATCAGGACCCAGTACCCTTCCCAAAGTATGGTTGGTCCAGAGAACATATAACCACAGTCAAGCTTCACAGTGAAGGTCATGGTAGGGTGGGGTTTGGGGCTTGATAGCATGAGTTTGAATTCCAGCTCTGCTACTTACTAGTCTCTGCAACTTTGGGCAAGTTAGTCAACTTTCTCTGAGCTTCCATATTCATACATGCACAATAGGAATAATAATCATACCTATACCTCCTAGGGTACTCTAAGAGTCCAATGAGATTTGTCATGTGCAGCATTGAACACAATACCTGACATAGAGTGAACTCCCAGGAAATGCTTATTGTAAGTATATTTTTTCTACTTCAGCATTATTTTCCTGTGATTCATCCTATTCAGAGATTTTTAATTTTATTAGTCAATAGAGCTTTACTATTTTTAAACAATAAAACTTCATATGGAACCCAATTTGGGTGAAACTTATGTGGTTCACCCTACAGGCTCCCCAAGGCTCTCTTAAAGACTCTCGAGCTCCAAGAAGCATAATTCATAAATCCCTCTTTAATCAAATTCCTATTATTTACAGAGAAAAAAATAAACCAAGGTTCTAATGTAGAATATGATTTCACAGTCTGAGAGTCTCCCCTTCTTCCCTCTGGTCCAACCACCCTGTTCTTTGGATAAGCCACAGACCTTAATATTTGATACACATCTACAGAACACTATTGTGCTTTGAAGAAACTCAGTACAGTATTACTAAACTCATTTCATGGATAAAAAGACATCTGTAATATGACTATCAACTTTCCAAAGCCACCTGGACTTGAATCTGAGCTCCAGGATTCCTAGGTGGGCTCCTCCACTGGACAACACTGCCTCTCAGTTTCCCCACCCAGTTCCCTATAGAAGGCAATTGACAGGGAAGCTGAGGGCTTGGTGGTTAAAGGATTGTGGGGTGCAATTGGCCAGGGTCACTGGAGACTCTTTCTGGCCATACCTGACCATTGGCTGCAGGGAAGACTTTAGGCTGACTTTCATGTCCAGGGGGTAGGAGCACCCAAAGTTGATGTTGATGTTGACATCACGGATGATGATCTCATTTGCGAGGTAGAGGGTGTTGCTGTACATGGCATGGGTTTCATTCTTCTGCATTGTGGAAAAGGTGGGAGGAAATGTGAGAAAGAGCACGAGAACTGGAATAGGACTCTAAACCAAAGAGTTTTTTTCTATCCACCTATGACTTGCCCTCCCAGCTTCCATGACCAAAAGTTATCACAGCAACCTTTTATGAGCACATGTGTGTGAGGGCCTGGGCTCCTCCATCATGTATTAGACCTTTCCATGACCCTACCTCCCTGCCTTGTGCTGAGGAGCCAAGAATTCACAGAAACTGAGTAACTGAGTAACTCGCCCATAGCACATGGGCTCTATAAGCCCAAGCTCTTCCTCATATGCCATGCTTCCTCTCTCAAACACAAAAAAGACTGAAAACCATGTGCCTAGTCATTATTAATGGTATAATTTCAAGTTAGTTAATTTTTTTCTTCCATATTTTGCCTTCTTTCCTTTTCTTCTAAGAGGATGGAGGAAGTGGGGAGGGAACACTGCTCCACTCAGACACTGAGTTCTGAGTCTGTATGCGGAGGCCTCTGTCTTGATTCTCCTGACAACAGTGATGTTGATCCTGCCTCCCAGGACCTCCAGGGACAAACAGATATACTTCTGAACCCAGGGCTGATACTGACTGGCTGAGAATAATCACTGCCCTGGTTAGGCTTACTCTCCCCACCTGTAAATATGGGGAATTATCACCATGTATCACCCTCTTAATTTGAAGCTGCCTTTTGAGCACTATGTGCCAGCCACCACCCCAATCACTTCACACACATTGACTCATTTTACCCTCTTAACAATCAAAATTAATATTTCTCCATTTACAGCTGATGAAACTGAGGCACAGCCAGGTAAATAACTCACTCAAGCTCATACAACTAGTAAGTGTTAGAGCAAGGGCTTGAACCAGACAGTGCTCCAAACCTGTCCCTCACAGGCCAGGACTTACTGTCATCACTGTCCCACAGGGGCCATCCCTGGCTGGGGTCACCACAGACATCCAGACTCGGTCACCCCTTTCAAGGAAGCCTGAGCACTGGTGGTCACATAAGTACATGAAGACCTTTTCAAAGTGCAAGCTTTTCAGCTGGCACTTGCTCAGAGACAATTTGATGTCATTGGCCCTGCACTCCAGCCTGTGTTCCAGGAGAGAGAGATCTGAAATGACTGAAAAAAGACTGAATCAAAAAAGACTGAAATGGACGGGGAAGGCAGGGTTAGAGATCTGTGACCACAATTCTGGAGTCCAGCACATCCCCAGGACCCAGGCACAGCTGGGTGATCTAGCCACCAGCTGGAGTGATCAGAGCAATCTCGGTTTGATTTTGCTGTGGTCTCATCTTCAGAGTGATGGAGGCTCGAGATTAGATTCTGATATCACTGTATTGATACCATATTACTTTAAGTGTGGAGTACATACAAAAATAGAGTGATTTGGGGGTCCTCCACTGTCCCCCCATTAAAAACATGGAATCCCAGTAAAACAAAACAACACACTAAAGTAGCTCATGTGTTAATTGCAATATTTTTTTGGAAGAATAAACATTGTCAAAATGTTCATACTACCCAAAGTAATCTATAGCTGCAATGCAATGCTTATTAAAATACCAATGACATATTTTCACAGATATAGAACAAACATTTCAATTACAATTTCTCTCCATTCTTTCCACATCAAGGAGACTAGCTGCTAATGTGTTTAATGCTGTAAAAGTGTTAATTTTCCTTTTACAATAACAGAGCACAGATCTCAGGCGAAGTGTCTGTCGTATACAATGACATTTGGGTGGATTTAAAAAAAGACTCTTTAGAAATATTTAATCAATGTAAAGAAAAACAAGTGAACAATAAAAATCACAGTATAAGTAGTTTTGGGATAAAGCAAAATTGTAAAGTTGGTATATAGATATGACTAAAATTATGACTGAAGTTTGGGGACTACTATGTACTTTAATCATTGTATATATAGGGAGGAGGCTTGGAGATGGCCAGGTCCTGTTTACTACCTCAGCTGGTCCGTGGAGGGCTGGACTCAAGAAACCACAGACTGGTCACCAGTCCTGGGTCCCTGTGCTGCAGGAATATGGCTCAGATAGCCTTTGGTCAACAGGTGATATTGGGAGTCTTAGAAAGAAGGCTAGGGGTGAAGTGAAGCTCTGGGAGTTTGTGGTCAGCCAAAGGGGAGACTCTGGACCCAGTTTCTTGCTGATTTGAATACATATTACTGAATTGACACTTGTGTATCTCCTAGGTTATCCCCACACACCTCAGCTCACACACAGGAATGTGTCCCTCCCCCAGTGGCTGACATTTCTCAACACCTTCCCCCTTTCCAGTGGCCTCACCGGTGCCATTAAAGTGATGTTTGCACTGACAACGCCATCTGCCATTATCTGATATGCAGTCCTCCTCTATACTGCACTCCTCACACGTCCCCTCCACGGATCCGGGATCTGCAGGATCACAGGCACAACGTTAGCAAGGATGTACCCCAGTAGCCCTCAGTGTCCCTGGGAAGCCCAAATTGGAGCTGGAGGGTGCAGTCAGCTTACCTGTGCAGTACGCTAGATGGCACTGTGGGGGCGCGGTCAGGTTGCAGACTTAGCAGCCGCCGGCACAGGCCTTCACGTGGACGGGCGCGTCCCATAGGCAGCAGTCGCCACTCCAGTGAGCGCAGGCCCTGCGACTCAAGATACCCTCGTAGCTGGACGGGTGAGTGCCGTTGAGCCACATGAGGGCGGCCGTGTTGCAGTGCTGTACTGGCACGCAGGTCTCAGACAGGTGCCCGCCCCCCTGCCCCACGAAGCGGTACCAGCCATGCAAGTTCCTGTCGCAGATGTAGCCCGCCCCATGATAGGCGCTGCGCCAGTACTGGTCCAAAGCGCGGTGCACCCGGCAAGGATCAGAGCACACGAGCGCCTCGCCCTGGGCCACGTAGTCTAGCCCTGGCCCTCAGGAACCTGGGGAGCACTCGCAGCTCCGCCCGTCCCGCCCCGCCCCGCCGCCCCCCCCCCCCCCCCCCGCCGGTAGCCTTCGGGGCACACGCACGAGTAGTTGCCGCGGCTGTTGACACAAGTGGCCAGGGCGTGGCAGCCGCTGAGCCCAGGCTCCGCACACTCATCCACGTCGGTGCAGCCGAGCCCTGGAGTCAGTTGGAAGCCCTGGGCACAAACGCACATGTAGGAGCCCGGCATGTTCACGCAGCTGCTGTCGACAGAGCAGTCGTGGGCGTCAGGGGTGGCACATTCATCTAGGTCCACGCAGTGGAGGCCGTCGCCAGTGAAGCCCGCCTGGCAGGAGCACGTCGTGGCAGCCCAGTCTTCTATGCAGGTAGCGTTGCTGTGACATTCAGAGCAGCTTACTGCAGACAGAAGAGTGGGAGCAACTGGGCCAGCTGTCTCCCAGATTCTCCTGCTTCCTGGAGGGTACCCGTATTTTTTAACACTTAGTCCCAAGAAGACCCCCCCCAAAACAAATAAACAAAACCCCTGTAATGATGTCTGCACATAAGCTGCAAGCTGTGTCTTAAGATATCTACTTTCCAGCGTTCCTTCCGGAATAATGCAGAGCTCTTGACACTTCCTTAGGATTTAAGTGACTGATGCCCCTTTGCCCACTTTTGCACATTTTATGCCTTTTAGCCCAGTCTCCTTCCATTCCTGGTAAATCTTCATTAAGACTACGTTCCATGTTGCCTCCTTTCTGAAGAGATCCCCCAACTTTACTTGGCAGTGGCTGTCACACTTTGTGTTTCTCTATGACAATAATAAAAGTAAAAAATAATGAGCTGTTGTTTATTAAACTCTTACTAAATGCTAGACACTGGTATTTGCACTTTTCGTTCATTATGCATTGAATTCTCCTCCAATGGCTTGTGAGATCACTTTTATACTTACCCTTCTTTTAACGACGAGGAAATCTACATTCAAAAGCCTTAGGCCACTTGTTGGTAAGTAGCAGAGCCAGGACACACCCAGGTGGCAGAGCCACAGAGTTTGTGTGCTCTTAACTATGACATCATAGTGGTATTTACTGTGCTCAAACTGCCCCAGCTCCCAGGAGGCTCCCAAATCCCTTCTCCAGGGATAGACTGAAAACAGAGTGAGGGCAATCCTCAACCTGATGGAATGACCTCATAAGTAAAAGACAAGGTACTTGGGAACCACCTGGGTATGTTCAAATCTCTTGTCCTGACCTTTCAGTAAAGTGCCAGGGGCTTTAGCGGTGTACTAGACTCTTGCTTCTCCATGTGTAGTCCAATGACCACAGCATCAGCATCACCTGGGAGCTTACAAAGAGGCTCAGTTCCTACTATTCCTGGGTAAATTCTGTGTACATTAAAGGGTAAAAAAAAAAAATGCATTTATCATTAAGATTCTCGGTAACATAACCAAAGCTAATAAAATGTCAATATATAATCACATATTTTTAATAGTTATAGTATACAATTGGCCTACAACTTCTCCCTAATGTTACTAAAGCCCCTTCAAATATTTCTACAAATAATTTTTTAATCTAAGTGAGGGTAATAGTTATTACTAATGGTTTAACACCTCAGTACAGGTTTAAAGCCTGAGTGTGTTGGTTTTGATGAAAATCGCAAGTTATAATAAATCTATTTTTTTAAAAGGCATAAAAAATGCATTTAGAATAAAGGTTATGCAAATCCCAAATGTGACAGGAGATGGAGGGAGCCTCTTCTGCTGAGGGTGGCATTGCTCTCCACACAACAAGCACACAAGCATGCATCTCTCTTACTTGCTTCTGAGGTGTCAATGGCTGCAGTTATGGAGACCACCCAGGAGATCACCACCATTATCATCTGCATTGAAGTCAGAGCAAAAAGCTGCCCCATCTTTTCTGGTCTTTCTTCACAGCTACTTCTAGTTAAGATGAGACTTGCCCAAAGGCAAGGACACGTCAACCCCTTTGGGTTTCCTTCCCTGGTTCCTGAAGTCCTGTGAACAGAGATGGATGAGATAAATGCATGCTCCGACTGCTCCCCCAGAGCCAGCGAATGATTTAGTTGTGCACTGCACAATTCCAAGAGATGTCAGGTATTTGAGCCACAAAAATTGTGCAGTGCTGTAGCCCTTGTTTTAGTGTGGTTTTCCCCTCTGTGGCCCCAGTCTCACTCTTACCTACTTCCCAGCCTTGGCTACCTCGGTCTTGGTGCATTTAAAAAAACTGAGTGTCTCCTTCTGAATTCATCACATTACTGGAGGTAGCCTTTGGTTTTTAACATTCAACTCCTGAGAAACTTTCAAGATGCCCAGATCCATTTATTCATTCAACAAACATTTATTGAGTCACTACTATATCAAACACACCAAGAAAAACAGTGCACAGAATCAATGTCCCCAATCTCAAGCAACTCACATATTCTAAAGAAGTGGCTTAATGTAAGATGTGATTAATCTTCAGAATCATTTTAATGTTTTCAGGGTGCTCCCTTATGTAATCCTAATGGGTAATACTATTACTGTAATTTTTACAGCAGCAAAATTGAATAGCATGGTGGTTATAAATGTGGGACTCCAGGATTCAAATCCCTGTTTTGCCAATCACTAGCAGTGTGACTTTGGGCAACTCGCTAAGACTCAGCTTCCTCATATATGACGTAGGGGTCATTGCTTCCACAAACCAAGTGCCTATGATGAGCCAGGTTCAGCTTGAAGAAGTCTTCTTCAAAAGACCTGTGTTCTAGATCAGTGTTTTCCAACCATGATCTGTTACAGGGAAATATTTTATACCATGACACTGTGCATCTGCTTGTAAATGTGCATGCGTTAGCACGTACATGCACATGTATGCGTGCATGCCAAATAAAAGTTGTATAAAGCAATTTTTATCATTACTGTGAACATTGTTTGCTGATGTATTGTATTTAATTAAAAGAAGATTCTGGATATAATCACAAATAATTTCATGACCTGCTAATAGTTTGATCTATAGTTTGAAAAACACTATAGTGGGTAATAACTGAAAACATATTGCTGTCACAGGCATTAACTAAAATGATATATGTGAAGCAGGGCCTGGCACTTTGCAACTACTCTTGTGCACTACTGTACAATCCCCAGTGCCTGGTACATAGTAGGCACTTAATATTTGTTGAAAGTGTGAAAATAATAGCAGTCATAGGAAAGAGTAAGTTCAAGAAAGAAAGGTAGTTTGACTTACAAAGAATCATGAAGCCAATAGTCAGCAGAGCTGACTTAACCTAGGTCTGACCCAAGTGTCTAATCTCTTAATTTTCTCTTCCCTCTTTCTTATACAGAATGGAAGCCAATAGAAGACTATGTAGGAGAGAAGTGGCTAGGAGAAGAGAGTCCTACAGGTAGCCTTACCTGAAGCCAGAGAGGTAGAATCTGTTTACAAGTATGTGCTCTTATATATACATCTGCCCCTGGCTGGCTTTCTCTGCCCCAATTATTTTATGGTTCTCTTTCTTGAGATTGTTTTCTTGGGAGGTGGGATAATTTTCTCTTTTGGCATAGCATTTTCCTTTTCTAGGCTGTGAGATTGTTTTCAAATGATTGACACTGGGGTGGGGGGTCACACTTTTGCCCACAAATATAAGACCTCTGTTTTGCAACTTTCAGCACCCAGAGATTCCTTAGTTAGGAATTAACTGGGAAAGCAGTGCCAAGGTACGAGTTTTTCTTGGGCATTGAAAAGAATGAGATAGACCCAAGCACATAGAGGACAGTATCTGAAGCTAGGCTGCTTTAGGAGAAAAGCGATGTTCATTGCTCCCACTAGGACATGTGCCTGCGACCACTAGGGTTCCCTGTCCTGGAGAGGACACTCTTCCAAATCATCCCTATATTCATGGGTCCAGACATGAGCAGGAAAGGAGCTGAGGATAGTTGGAAGTCAGAGACAGAAAGCACTTCAGACATCATGGGACCAGGGTTGCTCTGTGAAACAAGAAATCTGAGTTCTCAGGAGGGAAGGTTCCTTGGCAGTTGGAAAACTTCATGACCAAATTGACTTTGGAGTCAGTCCCGCTGAATCCTGATCAGCCATTTATTGTGTATGAGGAGAATCATTTCTTAAATTTCTTGGGATCATTTTCATTGTTATGATGGCTAAGAAGATGCTTCAAGGAAAGACATGTCCTCATAAGTCTATCCATGGAATTCAATGCCAGTGCTGCTTTGCTAATGTACAGTCACAGGAGTAGAAGATGACAGAGCCTGAGCTCTACCTCATGTCTCCTGTCTGAGTCTCCATGTAGATAGCAATCCAACCTGAAAACCAATCATGCTGAGAAAAATCAAATATGTGTGAACTTGGGCTGAGTAGTGACTCCCTGCAGTTCGTTTTCGAAGACCTTTCTCATCCTGTATCATTTAGTGGTGGGGTAACTATAAGCCCTGGTGCAGTCATCTCAGAATAATTTTGGAGGAGTGAAACTTCTGATTTAAAGAGGTGGCAAAGTTTTAAGAATTTTGATATATCTACCCAGACAGTACCCCAGAGAGATTTGTAAATATCAGTTTACAATCCCACCACAATGATCACTAACCCTGAGCATCTTTAACTTTCTTTCATCTTTGACAAAATGATAAGTCAAAAATATCTCATTGCTTACTTTTGCAAATGTTCCATGGAAAAGAAAGTTATTACTTCTTCATTTGTTTATTATTTATTCTTTTCTGAACTGTGTCTTTTGTCTTTTCTCTCCTTATAGGAATGTGTCATTTTTTTTCCTACTGCTTAAGAAGAAAATAAAAATGTTTAATACTCTTTTTCTCCATCCTGGATGGCGAATTTCATTTCTGATTATGCCCATGAGACCCTGTCTACCCCAAAGTCTGGTTGTCTATAAAGGATTATAGGTAGAGGCTTCAGGAGGCTCCTCATGTTGTCTGGGCAAAGGCCTTGGGCAGGAAAAAGAGGAGTATGGGGCTGGAGACTATTCATAAATCTAATAACCACATTGTACTTGTTTCTGTATTGATGCTTTCTTATCTTGGGGCTTTGCTAACTCTGGAAGGACTGCCCCTCCCATGACTAGCAAAGAACTGACCTGAGAGGGTGCCTTTCATGTGCAAATCAATCAACCCAAAACCTTCCACCCCCAACTCTTATATGGGGTTCTCACACTTAGGGTACCTATTCCCCTGCCATAGTCACACCCAGGGAAATATACACAACAACTACAGAAAATTCCCCAGTCCCAGAGCTATTGATATTCAAATTAGCCAATCTTAAGCATGCTTACCCTGCCTCACCCACTTTTTCCCTTGGAAACCACAAGAAAGACTTTTGCCCACGTGTTTGCCTCTCCCTCTGAACCTTAACTGACTCTGGCACTTCCCCATGGGCCCCCTCATGGCATGGGGTGTCCCCTTCTCTTGGGATTGGTGAGTACAATAAACTGTCTTTTATTTAGGTCTTGCCATCCCTAAATAAAAATAAAATCTGTATGTTAAAACAATAAGCACCGCACATTTAATGACACCATGGCTTAATTCATAGGAGCCACTATGCTGTGTCTTCATCTACCTGCCTCATCATTGACATCTCCTCAGCTGTTACAATGGAGGCAACACACTCTTTTCTGTGCTCTCAGAGTCCTCCTTTCTCACCCTCACTTACTCCCTTTTCACCCTTCTCTTAGTTACTAAAGTACCTTCACCTACTAATCCCTTCTTCATGAACCTTTTTTGGACCCCTACATTCCCTCCAACCACCACCTAATTTCCCTTTTGCATCAAATGTCTCAAAAGATTCCTCTGGATACACACCATTTTAATTCACGCTGATTTGCTTTCTGAACTGAAGCTCCATTGACATTACTCACAGAGATCACCAAAGATGGCTGTATTGCCAAATTCAATCAATATTTACCTCTTTAACTTCTAGAGAAGTGCCAAAAAATAATAGTTTTTTTAATGAAACTTACTCAACAGCTTTTATTTTATTAGAACTTCAACTTTTAAACAGGGTAAGATACTTAATCATAATTTTGACAGCTGTCACTGAGTACCTCTCCTGAGTAAGACACTCTGCCAAGTGCTTTTACATTTCATTGTATGAAAACACAGGGACAGAGAAGCCTATAATTCAGAGAAGTTGAGGCAGTTCCCCAACTCTGCACAGTAATCTAGTGCTAAATCCATACTAAAGCTCAAATATCACTCATATTTACCCTATGATGTATTGCACTCCTTGGGGTAAACAACATACAATACTCAGTCATGAAAGAGACCTACAGGGATAAGTGGTTTTAGATCGCGAGAGAGTGAAGGTTTTTTGAAAAAATTGATCAAACTGAACACAAAGAATTTTTGTAAGAGCAGTGTGTGTTGGGAGAAGGCAGAGAGCCAGGGGAGAGGGGACATCAACCGATGGGCATCACCTGGTCTACCTACCTATTCTGCTCATCTCAGTCTGAGCCCCCACTTCCTGATGCCCCGATAACACCTGAGAGGCCTGCAAGTAGCACACACTTTCCAGCTCATGACCAACCAAGGACTCTGTTTCACATGATTTTTGTCCTAGCAGTCTCTGTGTACACTTTCTTCAACCAGAAGCCACATGGCCTTAAGGCTGAGGCAGGTGAGCCTTGCATCGTGTTCTGAATACTAACACCTGCCCCTGTTGGGACATCTGGCTCAGGCAAGTCCCAAGGCCCCCAGGCTGTTCCCTACTTCATCTGGATATGAACAGGCTAGCTTGGGGTTGGGGATAGTGTAGAAACTGGCTTTGGAGGCCTGAAAGGGAACAGACAGCCTTTGTCTTACATGACACGTGAAAAGTGGAGACTCAGAAGGCATGTGGAAACCTTGGTTCCTAAGATTATATACCCCTCCTTTTATCAAGAGGAGGTCTATATCACCTGGCTGAAACAAGTATCACAAATAAGAAGCATACATGAGACTGTGTCAGCTGAATAATCACCTCCAAATATTCTATAACCTAATCCCCAGAACCTGTGAAAAAGGACTTTGTGGATACGATCTTGGAATGAGGAAGCTATCTGGGCAGGCCTAATGCAATCACAGTGGTGCTTACAAGGGAGATAAGGGAGGAATTAGAGTCAGAGGAATTGGAAGATGTGAAGATGGAAACAGGAGATCACACTGATTTGAGGAAGAAGCCAAGAGCCAAGGAATGCCAGCAGCCTCCAGAAGCTAGAAAAAACACATCATGAAACAGTGCCAGAGGAACCAGCCCTGATGACACCTTGACTTCAGCTGTCTGATCTCTGGTGTCTGGAAATATAAGAGAATAAATATGTGTTATTGTGAGCCACTAAATTTGTGGCAATGTAAGAAACTAATACAAAATCTAATTTGGGTCTGAGGACAACACTGTCAGCACCTCTCCCTTTCAGGATGACTGAAATCCTGTATCTGAGAAATAGAGTGCTGCCTCCTGTGTAATTTGATTTGATCCATGAATACTTATTTATTGAACATCAACTGTGTCTAGGTAGAGCTTTAAGCTGGGGAATGCAGCAATGAAGAAAATATAGGTCTGCTCTCCTAGGGCTTGCACTCCAGTGGGTGTTAGACTAGTGCTCAGCAAAATTATCAGGTGCTTTCACATACTGGAATCTAGGAAAACCTCTTGGAAGTGGTGATATTTGAGCTGAGATTTGAAGGATAAAAGGACTCAACTGCATGAAGATCTGGGGAGGATAGTGTATAGCGTGTGCATTTAGGCAGAAGAAATAACCATGAAGAGAGAGAAAGAGTGAATTTTTCAAATAGGCTAGAGCCTAGAAAATGAGAGGGAGAGGAAGAAGATCTGTAGAACCAGAGCTTTCTGGACCTTGGAGGTATGGTATAAGCAAACTGGGTTTTATTCTAACAGCAATGAAGATGCCATTAGAGCTTTAAAACAAGGTAGTGTTGTAAGCTTTCCTGGATATGGCTTTTTGAAAGATCACTTCTGCAGCTTTATGGTGTATGGACTTTGGAGTGGGCGGGGGAGGTACAGAGTGGGAGTAGTGCAACAGGTTAGAGACTGTTGCAACTGAGAATGGTAACTAGAGATGGAGGGAAGTGGATGTAGCCACATGGATTTGTGAAGTTACTCTTATTGTAGTAAAAGGAAAAATGAGATTTGAGGATTACCTAGGACGTTGCTGCTTAAGAGACTGGGTAAATTATTGAGATGTGGAAGAGTGAATACAGGTTTAGGGTTGGATATCTTTATTACTGTGCCAAAATGCAGTATAAAATAAATCAATTCCACCTCCTTTGAAAGTTGTAGCCTAACTCTGAAGACCTCAACTTGTAGGAGGTGATGTGTAAATACTGGTTAAATGCAGAATTTGTGGAGTGGAGTAAGATTGCCTGGAACCACATCTTAAGATATGATCCCGGCTGGTTGCTCAACCTCTTTGCCTCAGTTTCCCCATCTGTAAAATGAAGATAATGGAACCTTGCTCCCAGTGATGTTGTGAGAACTACATAATGCTCAGCCTGTTGTAATGCTCATTAAGTGTTGCTATCATGGCTTCTTTTGTAGTACCATCTGAATTCCAGGCCATACAGCTCTTCCAAGGCAGCACCAACCACAAAATACACATAATGAGTAAAACAGAGCAAAAGACGTTCAGAGCCTTTTATTACTCAGCCTCTACCTACCCATCACATTAAGATATAATTTTATTGGAGTAGATCCACTAAGAAAATGATTCCAGGACATGGAACATAGCATCTTCTTTCCTGGCATTGAAGAAGCTACAGTTCTTCCTTCATTCCTGTTTTCTTCTCTTGTCTTGGTGGTCCCTTTGGCTTAGCCACCTTCTCCTCCTCCTCCTCAGCTGTTTCCTTCTGCCTAGCTATCTCTTCCAGCTCAGGCAACTTCTGTTCAGGTAACTCTTCCTTAGCTAACACCTCCTCTTCTATCACTTCATTTTGCTGAACAGACATTAGCTATCCAAGAAAAGAAAGGAGGGAGGGAAGGGGATGCATAAGAGGCAATAAATTTGATAACTGTGATGGTAATTACCAAACCTTCTTTTTCTGGAATTATCCAAATAGTCATCTGGAGAATCCAAATAAATACAAAGTTTCATTTGGTTTGGATGGGGAAGTGCCCAACTGCGGTTTTGCCTCTCCAGTAAGAGGACCTTTGGGAACCACCTTTCTTCCACTCCAGGTCCATATGTCTAGCTTCCCCATGATTAGCTCCTTGACAGACTGGGCTTGTGACCCAGGCCTAGCTAATGAGATACCTGTCCAGGACATTTGCCATTCCTACTAAGAAGGATGTGCTTTCTAAGCTAGGAGGGTATTAGTTTAGAGCTATGAGGCAATCTTTGACCCTCCATGTGAAAGTGACTGCTTGGAAATGAAGCCAACATTGAGGAAAGCAGAGATGAGGATATACAATACAAGTTTGAACTTCTGGATCCATCTATGCATGATGTTCTGCCAGTTATGTGGGGTAAATTCACATTGTTGTTTAAACCAAAGAGCAGTGTTTCTGATATTTGCAACAGAAAGTGTCTTGACTAATACAGATGGCACCTTCCAGGAGATAACCTCACTGAAACATGAATAAGATTGAGAGAGAATGCGGATTATTATCTCGTTCCTCAGAAGAATATTGTCAGAGAGCAGGATCCCATCAAGATATCTGGTTTACTTCCAGTGCCCTTGAAGTAAAGTCACCAAACTGGATGGCTATTCATCCTCAACTATTTCCAGAGAGCACAAGATTACGGGACCCTTGGCACACATTTTCTTAGTCTATTGATTCTGTGTGAGACAGAATAATCCAGGGTTCTGCTGTTTTGCTTTACCTCATCTTCATCCTCAATCCTGGTCTTGATCTGACTTTCCAGGAAGTTAGAAAAGCCCTCCATCGTATATTCTCCTTTATAGAATACCACCTAGGAAGAAAATGGAACAGAGTCAAAATGATATCCTCTTCCTGCAACATACTCAGGGATTGGTACATAGATAAATCCAGGGTCAATTTCTTTAAAAAATTTTGTTTAAGATTTTATTTATTTGTAGAGAGAGGGGAAGGGAAGGAGAAAGAGCATGAGAGAGAAACATCAATGTATGGTTGCCTCTCACGCCCCCTACTGTGGACCTGGCCCACAACCCAGGCATGTGCCCTGGCTGGGAATCAAACTGGCAACCTTTTGATTTGCAAGCCAGCATTCAGTCCACTGAGCCACACAAGCCAGGGCCTGGGTCAAATTCTTAATAACCTGAGTACAATGGGCAGGTTCCTTAACCTCTCTGAGCCTCTGTCACCATGGATCTAAGATAAAGATAATAACTCCTCAGAGCAGGGACTACGGGGCTACATTGTTGGAGCTCAGACCCTGGCTTCATCCCTTAGTACTGTGGCCTGGTTGATTAACCTCTTTCTAACTCAGTTTCCTTATATAATATAATGATCATAACAGTACCTGTTTGATAGTGTTGTTAGAGGATTTAATGAGTTACTGTATAAAAAGCATTTAAAACAGATCCTGACTCATAGTGAGCACTATATGTATTTGCTATTATTATTATTATTATTACAAGAAGAATAAATTATTTTACCAAGCACCTAGTGCATGATTGTTACTCAGCCATCACTACTGCCCTTCTGCCCTATTTCTCTTCCAGTCTTTAAAAAGATTAGGAAGCTGCTTACTGCCCACTAGTTGTCTAAACCACATGTCAGATAACTGAAGATCTGTGACAGATCAACCCTCTTAATCTAGTCTCATTTTCCATGATGCCCTTTGTGCATTTTCTGTACCAAGGGGATGGCATGTCCTTCACAAGACTGTGGTTACCCTTATGCCCACCTCCTGGTTCTTATTATACTTCCTACCTGTAGTTAAAATCCCTCTCCTAATCTAATTTATATCCTCACCACTTTTCAAAACCCCATGTCTACATGAAGACTCCCAGCATATCTGCCCCCCATAATCTGTCCTCTCTAATTCCAATTGTATTTGGAGATGGACCCAGGTCATGACTCTCCCCCAAACTCAGTCAGACTGTCCTTGGGAGCAAGGACCTTGGCTTGTAAAAGGGTAAAAAGGCCCAAGAAGCATGGAGAGTGTGTTCCTTGAACACTGATGACACTTGCTTACTACAATACCTAAGTGTCAAAGACATTGATTGTTTTTTTATCATGAATTCTTTCTTATTTCAGTAGCACCCCATACCCAATATTCATGTGGCAATTTCCCCCATATAGTCTAGGTACCAGAGAGAGCCATGGAACTTGGACCTGACCCATCCAACACTCACATCCACTTGGCCACAGTGATTGCGTCAGGGATGAGCAGTGAACTTAAGCTGGACCCAATGACAGAAAGCCTTGGGACTTTTGTGAAAGCCAATGGCAAACACTCTTTAAATTGAAGAGGAGAGGATAATAAATCTTAGATCTGAGCATGAAGCTGCTTAGGTATAAGTCAGACCTGGAATAGGGGGAAATTACATCTGTGATAATAACATAACCAGATTTCCTTATGACAGTCCCAGGAGCCCCTTACTTGTTGTGAGTTGGCAGGGAAGAGCCTGAAGAAGGGGTACCGCTCCAGATACTTCAACTGAATGTCATTTGCTGTGATGTCAATCTTGGCAATGGTGACCGTGGAGTGGTTTTGATACTTTATGCCCAAATCTTCCAACACAGGAAATAGTGCCCTGCACTTGCTGGACCAGGGTGCATCTGCAAGAAGAAGGGCCATGGCTTAGATTCACACCAACAAAGATTCTCCTATAAACACTGGCACTGTGTTCTACCAATGGTTCTGTGGCTTTGAAATTTGTACCCTCTCTTTCCTTTAATAGTATGTCAAGTCATTTTACATTTCAAACATACTACCTGATCATAATTAAAGACATTAGGAAAAAATTAACCCCTTCTCTTTCACCCAGACACCAACACTTTTAGCATGCTGGGACATTTCTTTCTGTTCTGTGTTTTCCTTAACATAGATTTCCACTCTAGTTGAAGAATAAAGCCAAGAAAAATATTTAGGCTAGATGATTACTCGTATTCTTCCAGAAAGAGTATGTGTGTGTATGTAAATACAAGAGTTTCCCTAGCTCAAGGTCACCCAATTAATTAAGCAGAATAAGTGTGATTTACAGATAGGCTGCTTTGATCTGTGACCATTATACCACACTGCCTTCTAGTCCAGTGGAGGAGACTGTAATTGGTACATCTACCTCTGAAAAGGGCCACCAGACTTCCTTACAAACAATTCCTTGAATTTCGAGTGTGGCCTATGTACCTAGTCCTCTGGGTAGAAAGCAGGAGCTAGCTTCAACACAGAGTGGGTGTCAAACTTTGCCTTCTGTCATTCCATTAAAGTTTCTTTATTCTGTGTGGAGAGTAACCTCAATGGCCCCAGATACTCTACATCTGGATGATCATCCCTCCATCTTCAAGCCAGGTGACTCTAGCACCATCAGGACCAGCAACACCTCTGCAGCTCCTCTGGAGCCCACTGGGCCTAAGGTTGGAGCAGAAAGGAGCAGAATCGCTTCAGTCCCTGGGGACCAATCTGACTGTCCTCTTTCCAAGAAAATAGTGCTGCTTTTGCCTTTTACTAGAACTAAATGAGCATTCTCACAACTCCATCTGTCAGGTAAGTACAGAAAGTCTGCCCCAGACTCTCATTTAAAGGAAGCAAAATGGTTATTCAGACATGCAGACCTTAAACACCTCACACTGTGGATGAGAGTCCATTTCAATGAGATTTTAAAAGGCCTTCGTGATACCATCCAGACCTTGTTTTACCCCCCAAGAAGTGACTGCATCATAGCTTGCTTGAACTTTTTCCTTTGCAACTAACTGTATAACCTGGGATAAGATAATTAACCTCTTTGAGGCTGGGTTCCCTAATCTATGTCATGGGGGAATCGACTGAACTTTCCTAAGAAGCTTGTTTTGAGGAGAAAATGAGAAAATGACAAGTATGTACATAGCAAACTCATGTCTGGCTCATTGCAAGTGCTCAATAAATGGAAACTTCATCTGTTAAATAAAGGAATGTATGAAGTACCTTTACTATGTATTAGTAAAGACTGGAGAGAAAGTCCTAGCCTTGGATGTCACATTTAGGTCAGAAACAGTGGGAAGAGGACAATAGTCTTTAGATGACCATGGGAAATAATTATAACAAAAGGAATGATAACAGCAATAATAGCTGTTACTTATCAAGTGCTTTTAATATGCTAGACACTCTGCTAAGTTCTTTATTTGCATTATATGAGTCCCCAGATGGGTCACATCAACTAAAGTAGGTTAAGTACAGGCCATTTAGTCAGTTACACAAAACCAGAACTACTGTTCAGTACTGAAGTTACCAGAATATGCACTGGAATCAGGCTCCCTAGGCTCTAGTTCCAGTTCTAGCACTTACTAGATGCCTGGCTTTGGAAAAGTTCTTCACCTCCCTGGGTTTCTGTTTAGTCATCATTAAATTGGGAACAATGATAGCAGCTACTATCAAAAGTGTGCTGTTAGGATTAAATAAAATTATGTATAGAATGGCTCAGCATGAAGACTTGTATACTGCAGCATTCAATCACTGTCAGCCATCAGCACTATTATTATTAAAAGCCACAGGCATAGAATATGTGGAAGGTATTCCTCACATTCCAAGAATTCAATTTGAGGACAGAGTTGCATTGTAGCTGGTAGCATCTTGATCCAAACTCTATATGTCTGAAGACCATCTTGGCATGGTACTTGGATTTTGGAGATTTTGGTGCCCAAGAATGTAGGATCAATGCTTGAAACTAACATTAGGGCCATTGTCTCCTATGGTGTCTGTGGAGATACTTACAGAACATCACAAAAATGTCTCTTTCCTTGTCAAAGACAACGAGGTTGAAATTCTTCCCAACAAGCTGCTTAACTGGCCCTTGGTCCCAATATTTTGGGATCTCTTCACTGGATTGATGTTTCTAAGATGCAAATTTGAGAGATCTAATAGTCTCCAGAAAAGTGTTGGCAGCCCCATTTTCTGTCCCCCACCCTCCTTCCCTGACTGGAAACAATGCAACATTTTGTTCTTGTTCTTAGGAGAACCTTGGGGAAGAGTGTTTGATGCTGAGGTTGATCATGAGCTTGATGTCAAGCTCCATTGTCCAGGGAAAATGGGAATCAGAGGGCCAAGAAAGAGGCCAAGCTCCAAACTGAGATGGAGTATAACATTTCAAATACATGATTCTTTTAATTCTTAGATGAAAGCTAAGTTCATATCTTTAATATCTTGAGAGTGTGTTCCCCCATAAAAAGTTAGCTATCTTCAATTTCACCTAGAATAAACACGAAGATAATTTACATGAATTATCTTATCACATTTTGGTATCTGCCAGCCTATCTAAGCTCATTGCACTTTTTCTTTGCTTTCTTCAGACACACTGGCCTTCTATTTACCCAAAGGCTAGCCTTCCTCCCACCTCAGGCTTTTGCTTATGATGTTCTTCTGCCTGAAGAGCCTCCCCTACTTCTTATTCCTCTGCTCCCTAACTAGTTAACTCACATTTATCCTTCAGAATGATCCCAAGGGAAAAGTTCCCTGACTTTCCCTGAGACTAGTTCAGCTCACACTATCACACATTCTCATAACACTTAATACTGATGCTTTTATCACTTATTCAACTTTATAATTTATATTTATATTCCTGGTCATTTAATTAATGTGTCTCCACCACACTAGACAGAATGTCACAAGAGACATTTCTTCCCTCATCACTGAGTGTCCACTGCTGGGTACATAGTAGGACCTCAATAAATAGTTTGTGAGTGAATGAATGAAAGAACAAACCCAGGTCTTGCTTATCTTTGAAGGAAGTGTTGTCAATCTCAGAACATATATATTTCTCTACAACCACTGCTTTCTAAATATCCCTTGAATCTACACCCCTCTCTTCATGTGCACTGCTACTACCCTAGTCCTGGTAAGCCTCAATCTCTCACCTAAATCATTGTAATAGTCCCCTAGTGTTCTCTCATATCTCCTCCTAATCCTCTCCACACCTTTATTCTCCTACCATCAATGTTCTATTTTCACCATGCAAGCCTGGCTTCCCACTGTTCTTAAGGTATCAAATCCTCAATATGCTTACAAGTTCTTGTTATCTGGTCTTTGCCCAGCTCAACTGCTTCATCTCCCACAATGTCCTGACCCATTGCCACCCCAGCCTCTGAAAAGGACTCAAAGATTCTTCCCAAAGGAACAAAGGAACATAAATGATGTGGGGGTTGGGCATGAGAGATGAGAAATATAGAAAATGATGGAGAATTAAGAATGGGCCAGATCAGGTAGATCTCATAAGTCATATGAAGGATGTTCATCTCTACACCAAAAGCATAAGATGACCTATTGGCCTTTGATAGACATCTCCTGGGATGTAACTGGAGGGAAGAGAAAGGGTAGAAGAAGAGGAAGGGTAGGTTTTTAGGTGTGATAATGGAAAATGAGGGAGCCCCTATTTCAAACCTTCTATTTTTCTTAATGACATAAGTAGAGTGCTCAGGTGAGACTGAAAGTGGGAAGAGGATAGGAGAAATAAGCTCAGAGAATGAATTAAGAGAATGAACATACTAAGAATTTTATATTAAGATGTCAGAAAATTTCTAAGAGCCCATGGGAGGCTTGGTTTTTGACTCCATTAAGCCAGCCTACCTCACAATAATGTTCTTTTTCTCTAGCCTGGGAACAGTCGGAAAGTTAAATGGCTTCAGCCAAGGTTATGAGTTTGACTGGTAAATGCTACCAGGTATAGAGAGATACAAAGTGGAGAGGATAAAGTTAAAAGAATCATCTTCAGGCCAATGAACATGAAGTTCAAGATCACAAAGGAGGGCTCTAGAGAGATTGTGGAGGATTGGAAGTTGGCTACAGAGTAAGTGGAATCTACAACCGCCTGCTCCCAGCCCCAAACCAGATTTACAGCTAAATTACAGAGCAATCAACCTAAATAACCAGCTGAAGTCTAGCTTAACTGAAATACAATAACCAAGAATTTACAGAAGAAGTCATAAAGAGACTGATAAGAACAGCTGAAGTGCAAAAAGGGGATAGCCCCCTTACTCAGGTGCAATGATGGCAGAGGAGCCAGAGGGATATTGTGGCTGCAAAACTCCTTTTCCATAGGAATTTTGGGGTCTCAGTCTCACACAGATATCTCCAATTCACAAATGGGAAAAAGAGCCCACATAAAATCTGGTGGCGAAAATCAGTAAGGATTCAGTCCTCCTGGAAGACCCAGAGTCCATCTTCCCAGGGACAAGCACTCTCATTGTTATAGCACCAGCCTGGGGAGTGCAGTGCCTGGTCCCCAGCTTCTAGTGAGGCCCCTCTGCCATACTTGGGTCCTGAAGAGGGGTCTTCTGGCTGCACCAAGCAGTTATTTGGGGACCCTGTTTCTGGGAATGCTTTTGGCAGAGGCTCAGACAGTGACTAAATTGTGTGGCTTGGGAAACAGGGCCAGTTTACCTCACCTTAGGGCAAAGCTGGAGCCCATTTTCCAGGCTATTGAATCATTTGTCTGGCCCTTTCTTGCTGAGTTCAGCAGTGCAAAAGAGCCAGAGTGCCACACAGAGCTGGGACTTTTGGTCTGTGTCTCCAAGAGAAGGTTTTGTCCAAAACCAGACAGACAAGTGTGAGGTATGTGGCTACATTGCAGGGTGCAAATCCAATCTTCTCTATGAGTGCAGTCTGTGCTAGCCTGCGAAGGGGAAGTGCCCACAACCTTTCTACAGGCTCTCAGGCACCACCCCCAACAGGAGGCTATTTGGATCAGCCCTGACAATTTCAAGATGTCCCACTGCAATTGCTGAGTTCTATGGGGGAAAGGATGATGGCAATGGCTCAGAGCTGGGGCAATCAAAGTGGGAGGCCCTCAGAAGTTATTGACTGGGACTGTGGTGAAATGTTTAACCTCCTTCATGTGGGCTGGGCTAGCTTGCATCATCTCCAATGGAAGGCTCTTTTCATTCATTCCCCCCTGAGCCTGGGGCTGGTAAGCTTGCTTCTTGCAGAGGGGACATGAGGTAGAACACAATTGAACCTTCAGTAAGCCCCTATAAGGGGAACTAAAGTTGGAGACTTAGGCATAGACTGAGTAGATTAGCTTTAAGGCAAGGGCCACTTTCCCCAGTCAAGTGCCTGTCTGCATGTTTCTCAAATAGGGGATCCACTAGTCATGTCCTCCCAACAGCAGTTTCCCTGCCCTACCAAGCTCACAACCTGTGGAAAGGATTTTAGATAGCAGCTATACTGGGCTCATCCTGCAGTCTTTCTTCAGAAGGTTCTGAAGGAAGACCAGGCAACCTCAGAGGGAGGCAGATGTCAGGGATCCTTGGTTTTTTTACGGTTCTGCCCCCAGCTCTAAGTTGGAGGAAGCCAACCTTTATGCACAGATTGACTCTCTCATGCACATCGAGGTCCAGTAGATGCAGACACAAAGAGTGAACAGTGTAGTAGCTCCACACAGGTAGCCCAAACCTGGTTATATACGATGTCTGATATGGACCTGTCCCTGAACCCCACACAAGTGGACCCAGAATTAACACAATCAGAGGTGGGCTTCAGAAAACAATATAGCTCAACACAACTAGCCACACAAGTGGCACCCCCAAAGAAGGAATTGAGCAGGCATGAGATGCTGCTGGAAACACTAACTCAGGGGGTAGCCCCAACACAGTGATCAAGGTATATCCCTATAGTCACCCAGACTGACGGGTTAATTTCACCACAAAAGGGCCAATAGCATTTAAGACTCAACTATAACAGGAGGATGTATATAACCTACAAGAAATATTCCTAGAGTACAGAGTAAAGATGATCTGAAAGATTGTGCCACTGAGCCAAGCAAGATATCTTCATTATAAAGCCATCATAACAAGTTTGGAAGTCATATCAGATCTACCTAATACACAAAGACAAATGGGGAGACAAAGAAGAGGGCCCCAAATGAAAGGACAAGAAAAATCTCCAGAAAAGAATTAAATGAAATGAAATGAAACAATGAAAGTATAAGGTGAAGGGTTTTTTAAAAAGTGCTTATAAGGATGTTCAAGAACCTTAGAGGAAGAATAGATATCAGTGAGAACTTAAACAAAGAGACAGTAAGCATTAAAAAGACGTAATACCATTCATAAGTGAATACCATTCATAGAACCAGTCATAAGTGAAGAATACAATACCCGATATGAGAATATACTAGAAGGAATTAACAGGTTAGATGAAGCACATTATCAAATCAGCTACTTTTTAGAGGAAAAGATAACAGTAAGCACTCAAACAGAACTTTAGAAAGGAAAAAGAATTTTTAAAATGAGGAAAGTCTAAGGCACCACTGGGACAACATCAAGTGTTACAACAGCTGCATCACAGATACTGAGCAAGGGATAGAGAACCAGTCTGAAGAATTAATGGCTGAAAAATTTCCTAACGTGGTGAAAGAAAAAAAGTCACACAAGTTCAGGAAGCACAGAGAGTCCCAAATAAGATGAACCTGAAGGCACCCACATTAATACTCATCATAACTAAAATCATAAAGGTTAAAGACAAAGAGAATCTAAAAGGCAGCAAGAGAGAGACAGTTACCTACAAGGGAGTTACAATAAAGCTGTCAGCTTATTACTCAGCAGACACTTCAGGCTAGAAGGGATTGGCATGAAGTATTCAAAGTAATTAAAAACAAATACCTGCAACCAAGAATACTCTATCCAGCAAGGCTATCATTTAAAATTGAAGATGAAATAAAGCACATACCAGGGTCAAAAAAAACAAAAAAACAAAAAACTAAAGGAGTTCAGTACCACCAAGCCAGTATTGCAAGAAATGTTAAAGGACCAGCTTTAAGAAGAAAAAGAGAGAGGAACTATATTTTAATTTTAGTTTAAACCTTCCTTCCCTTTCATATAATAGTCTTAATTTCCTTACAACTTT